CAGAAATAATGGCGGGCCATCTTTCAATGCCTGAGAGCACACACACACACACACAAACACAAACACTCGGCATCCAGTGATTGTAAATCAAAAGTGAAACTGGTGCCAGAAGAAAATGGAAAGAGACGGAGACAAAGATAAAAAGAGACTGACTGTCCATTAAGTAATACGTTGAGGTCTCAGCTAATCAAATCAAACTGTCGCTCAATCATTCAATTCTATGAGAACTTTGGAGACATACGCAAACACACACACACAAACAAACACACAATCCCTGCAGCAATATAAAAACTTATCCATTCAACTGATTTAGAGCCCACTTGTTTCTGTATGAGGCTTTTCAATCAACAATACCTTTTGTTGACCTCCCCCCCTACTCAGCCACTCCCTTCTCCGCTGTTGTGTTCAGTCTCTATTTCTGGCACAGTTCTGCGTTCGATGAAATGGGTTTGTGTGGGTCCTTGTGTTTTGTGTCAGCCTGTCGACAGTTCGGAGCTCTGATGCTCGGCTACTGTCTGACAGAACTTTCAGGGGAGCAGGTGTCAAAAAGTAACAAGGTGGAAAGAAAGTTGGAAGGCAAGACAGAAAAAGTGATGGAGGAATCAAGTTGTGTGTTACATTTTGTATCAGAAGGGAAAAGAAGAAGATATACGTTTTCTCTGTAATTCTGATTAAAGTTGTCAATTGGTTATAATAATCATAAATGCTAAAGAATCTTGTTGGCCTATAAATGTAAGAATTTGTCTCTTGTATTCACTATGTCTACACTAATTGTACATTTTTGGCATCTTGAATCATTTTGAACCAGGTTTGGAATAAACAGTGTCCGACAGGGCAAAGGTGCTCCAGAGGTGATTACCGTTAGCAAAAACAACAACACAACTATGATGCAGATAAAAATACAAACAGCTAAACCATCCATTATCTTTTTACCGATTTTCCCGTTGGGGGAAACGTATCCTCGTTTGACTATCCTCCTAACCAATCATTACGACTCATTTATTCTGCACACATTTTGGATGGTGCCTGGTACCTTGTTATGACTTTGGCTCCAGGTGTTCCAGGTGAACAAGGCCAAATACAACAGTAGGCTTGAACAGCTGCAGACCACTGATTAGTCATAGGGAATTTATCATCCTGGTAGAAAAACCCTGAAACCATAAAATACTTTCACATGCATACACCTGTGTCTAGACAAACAACGTGTCATACAGTTTAAGTCATTTGAATCATAATTACAATGAATAAAGTTTATTCGGAGCTAACTTTAAAAGTGTAAAAGTAGTGAGACCTGAAAATCCAGCCCCAGTTTGCACAAACCCCAACGGTTTAGCGCGACTTTGCATGAATTGAAAGATCTGAAATATATACAGTAGCCTATACAGTTTAATGATTTACTACATATAAGTAGCTTAGTTTAGGATTATTGAGTCAAAGTAAGAATATCCAAAGTTCTTGCCCATGTTTTATAAATGCAACCCCACGCTTTGGTAGAGCATTCTTTAAAAGGCTCTACGAAGAGTAAATTAGTTACTGTAAAATACACATTTCTACTTTTCTACTTCTTTGAGGAATTAACCTTGTGCCAAATTCCTGCCTGTGTTTAAACACTGAAGATACAACCCAGGGGACAAACACTGCAGTTTCACTAGTATTCAGCTGGGAACCATATTGACATGGAACTTGTACCATCTGCAGTGGAAAGTGATGTCTAGAATCTAGTAGGAAGTACCAGGAGTACGAGTGGAGTCCATGAGCTAACCCTTGTTTTTCGTTTTGGATACACTGTTGATCAACGGTGAAAACAACATTTTACTACATTGAGCCACGCCTGTCGTTTTTGTAGTAAGGATTGAAAAAATTAATTTCTCTTGGCTTCAAATCAACTGAAATGAACCAGACTACTCTGCATCCGTATGAAGAGCTTCATTAGCCTTTTCATCACATCAAAAGAAACAAACTCAGCCCTGGGCTACCGCTGGAAACTCCCCAGAACCAGGACTGTTTCTTTGGAGTCTGTGATGTTGGAGCAGTTTTAGGAACGCAAACGCTATCAAGGCTAGGAAGATGTTAAACAGAATTGATTGTTTTTATACCAATTAGAGGTTTTCTCAGATGTGTAATTGAAGACTGATGCTGGGAAAGAATATACATCCTCCCCTGAAGACACATGATGAGATGTTCTGATTAAATGAATGCGAGTGAATCCACAGCTAAAGAAACCAGGCAAAGATGAATTATGTTTGTGTGATGAACCCATTGACTGTTATATGTCATGTCAGTGCTTCTGGTGTAGTCAGTGGTTATTACCATCATAACTGGAGAAATGAGAACGAGGTTGAAGTAGGAGATGACGTCTAAGACCAGGTTGTTAGCTTCAGATATCCATTTATAGTTATTCCTAAAAGCCTTGAGAGTGGTCAGCTGAAAGTAGCTGTAGATGGGAGCAGTGATTACATGAAGATCTTCAGATTTTGTATTCACATGCGGATCGTGTCTGCGGAGATGCATGTGATAACAGTCAGAGAAAGGCAAAGACAGAAGAGGACAGCATGGGAAAGGGCGGGCTAAAAATGAAAGCACAGGGTCTGGGATATAGATGGAGAGAGGAGAGCACAGATGGGAGCGCTGCTACAACCAGCACCAACTATGAATAATGAAAGCATTACTGTCTGCAGCTATGCGTGTGTGTGAGAGTGTGTGTGTAAATTGGCTAGATTAATTCATACGTATGCTTCCAATTCCCCAAAGCATTAACCAGGAACATGTTTTGCTATTAAAACATGAGTCAGCGTGGGGGGCTGTTCATGCAAAGCACAGTATGTGTCATGTGTATGATGTGCAACATGTAAACATGAGCGGATCATATTGGGTTATGTGATTCGTCTGTGTTTGCACATGCAAGGTAAGCTTAAAAATGGGTATAGGCGTGTGTGTGTGTGTGTGTGTGTGTGTGTGTGTGTGTGTGTGTGTGTTTACTCTTGTCTCCCTGAGTGAACTCGATGTGTGTTGAGTTGTAACCCTTCACATCTCAGTGGAGTCCATGCATTACTCACGCTCCCCTCTCGACCTCCTTCTGTATCCTCTATTTTTTCCCTCCTACGTCCTTTAGTCCGGTCTATTTACATGTTTCTAAATCTCTTTTATATCCCTCCCCCCCCTCTCTGCTTTCTTTACCGCTCCCTATTCTCCACTCCTCTGCCTTTCCTTTCCTTTTCCTTTTCGAGCTCAGTGTGCATTACGCTGCTAAACTAAAGAGGCTAACGCTGACAGATTTACATGTGAAAATGTCCCGTTTTATTTCTATATGTGGGTTGGTTACAGCTGTTTGCAGCACATTACAGAAATGAAAATGAATTGAAGTAATGAAGGGGCCACATCCACCAGGCAAAGTGTTCTCTGTTTGAATGTGCACATGTGTGTGTCTGTGTTGAGTCATCAATATTACACTTACGCACCTGTAAGTCATTTTATATATTCAAACACAGGTACCTCCTCTTGGACACCTTTGTCATTTTTCATGTCTTAATTCATTTTCTTAATTTGTTCTGATGTTGTTGTTGTTGTTGTTGTTGTTCTCATCTGTTGGTTCTCCCCTGCACTCCTGTCATGTTAAATATTTCAGTTCACGTTAATCATAATATCTGTTTTTCCTGCACAATGAAGAACTCTACAGCCAGATGTCTGGAAGTAATGAAAGAAAAGAAACCAGCTGTGACATTTACAAAAAAAAAGATATTCTACCCTCCTTCTTCCGTGCCACTTGTTTTTCACTAAATGGGATTGCATGTTGTTTTTTTTTTGTTTTTTTCAGCTCTTGTTTCACATCTGACTGAACAATACTTTCATTTATTCTCCGGCACAGTTGAGAGTTGTCTGCTCCACCTGATATGACTTTGGAAAATAGAAAATCCAGCCAGCTTTGCCCACTGTGACTGTGACAGCTCGCCGATAAAAAAAAAAAGGGGAAAAAAAAAATGCTTTTCCACTTCTCCACGCACTCTTTCCTCTCCTCCTCTCCTCCCCTCCTCCCCTCATGCTTGCCTCTGTCAAACCAAAAGCCTGTTTGTGGTGTCAGAGTCAACATGGCTGACAGTGAAGCGTATGACGATGACACAACCAGGTGGAAACGCACACTATCTCTCCCGGCATGTCTGTCAAATACAGACCGAGTGGTTGAGATAAACATTTGATACACTGATGGAAACAGGACAAACTGATGCAACATCCATGAGAACAAAATGAATACACACTCCATACATAATCACCTTTTCATACATTTTGAGAAGTTAACCATCAGAAGGAACTTTCTGACTTTAAGGTCTCCTTTTTTTTTCTTTTTTTTTTTACTGCAGACGACTCAAAATAACATCCCAACACGACCAGCCGTGAAACACACTTGCTGGTGCGATCTTTTGAGTTATTCATCTGCACACTCAAGTTCTTGTTGTCTCATGTAAAGTATCTCACACACGTTTTATCATTAGTTAGAATAATGAGGCGTCTGGTAACCATGACATCGCCTGTGCACTTGATGTTACTTTTTAATATCCCCAAACCCCTTATTAAATATTCTTGTTAGCGTGTGGTTGTTGTGGTATTCCATCAGAACTCTCTCCCCCCCCCGGGAGTGTCCCCCTTATTAAAAGTGTTTCTAACTGTGGCTGTGCTGTGGATTGCATCACTGTCAGCTTGAGAGAAAAAAATGTATTAGGTCCCAGGGGAGGGAAGTAAGCATCCACACGTTGTGTCCGAGTGGATTATGATAACTTGGACTTCATCATCTCCTGCTACAAGAAGAGAGTACATTTCAACCTGTTCATTTGTGCGTCTCATAATACACTGAATGTGCTGCAACCGACAGGGTGAGGCCCCCTGAGTTTTAATGGACCGCTCCAAACACACGCTGCTTATAATGAGGGAGAGCATCAAACTGAAAAGGTTAATCATGTAGAATCCACTTTTTGACTCTCATCCGACTCGTCTCCTTTTTCTAACAGGAAGATCATCGAGGTGAAGATCATCGATGACGAGGAGTATGAGAAGAACAAGGCCTTCACCATCGAGCTGGGAGAGCCCGTTCTGTTGGAGATTGGGCAGAAACATGGTGGGTGTTTTTGTGTGTGCGGGGCTGTTAACGAGAGGAGACAGAAACAAGGAGAAAGTGACAGACAGAATCTGAGACCTGCGCTGATGTTTGAAACTTCCCATCATTTGTTACCCTTCTTGATGACAAAACAAATAGTCACAGAATCATCAGAACTATTTCATGAACTAAGCAACACGCAGAAAAAGTTTCGCAGCCCTTTCCTACCTTTACAGCCATTTTGTCATGTTCCCACCTTGGTGTTAGCTCTACACTGTCATGTCCAATCTCATGAATTCACACAGCTACCGTATTAACCCTGAAATCCCTGAATCTAAAACGTCTAAGCCCTTCAACTTTTTAAGAAATGTAGGAAGCTTCGGTGGAAATGTTAAAGGGCTCATTACAGCAGGCAGGAAGCTAATCTCTGGAAGGTAACTCCAGGCTGAAAAAGAACGAGCGCTCAAAGTCAACAAGGAAGGAGTTCCTGCTGCTTGTTCTGCTTTGACCTTTCCGCTCTAATGAATTTCCCCCAAAAAAGTGGAAAGTTTTTATGATAAAGGAAAAGACAACCTGGTGTAACTTCACATGTGACATTTCACTTCAGAGAGACATTTTTTCCACGCCTCATTTAAATTCCTTTTAACTCTCGTCTTTCTTAATTCTGTTCTTTTCTCTCTAATTGACTCTTGATTGCAGCACAGTGTGTGTTAGCACTTCACAGTCAAACCAGTTTATATTCATGCATCCAACCCTCTGATACACTGGTGGTTCTCAATAGGAGAGCGCTTACAAAAGGTTGAACAAGACAGAACTTCAAATAAGTAAAGCCAAACATCTAAAGCCCTGTTTCCACCAAGCGGTTCAGTACAGTTTGGTCCGGTAAACCCTGATCGTGCTTGCGTTTACACAGCCAACCGTACACTTACACATCACCACATCACGGCAGTGTAGAAACCCTATGAATTCAACAAAGAAGAAGAAGAAGAAGAAGAACGCAACACAGGAAAGAGAACACAAACAAATCAACCAATGAGAATGGTTCCTGTTTGAGAACAACAGCAGAAGAGTTTGACGAAGAGGCGTTAAAAGTTTGAAACACCAAAAAGATCCTAACACCTTTTTCCAATTTAGTCAACTAAACATCGTATTCCAAATTTACAAACTGCACAATAATTCAAAAGCTCTGAATCGTGTTTTCCTGAAAGTAAGTCTGACACGTCGTACATTGTGCACTTTGCACCATGCTCTGTAGAACATGCACTCCTTTAAATAGTACCGTCTCTCTCTCTTACATACACTATGAGATCTGTAAATTACGTGGGGGCAACAAGGGCAATCATGATGCAACGGCCTAAATGATTTCAGGGGAAGGGAAAACATGGCAACAGATTCATATTAAAGAACGCATGACGCTGGAGTCCACAGACTTGGAAAGAAGGAAATCTCTCCAGATGAAACAAGGTAATGCAATCAGCTGCATTAACATTAAATACACTACTGTACAAACACATGAACGATGCAAAGTCAGAACACACAAACCCAGAAAACAACCGCTGAAGGTAATCGCTGCTAATCCAGCCATCTCAACAGATGTGCTTCAGGCATCTGGATCTCTATACATGACGTTAGAGAGACGAGAAGAGGCAATGAAATGATGTTATCTGATAACTTAATTATCAGATAACATGACGATAAAATGCTGCCGGAGCAAAAACAAATCTTTATGACATGGAAAAAGAAAAAACTTTCATTAAGAATAGTCTCTGATTGAGAGATAGCATACAAAACCGTTGAGTGCGTTTTAAGTTAGCTGTACTATGACCTGACTCAGCCCGGTGACCGGCTCCGAGTACAGGGTTGTGTTAAGCTCCAGGTCCCACCAGCCAGAGCTCGCCCCCGCCGAATCCCCACTCAGGTCACACACCCGACATTCCTCCCCAAGCGTTTCAGTGTTGTACCTGAACGCATCGCTCTTCACCTCCTGTGTAGAGATGCAGATGGAGTCCCTCGGTGGAGTAAGGGTCTCCACTCCAGATGTCAGTCATTGGGGAGCCAGCAGCCCGGGTCATGTTTGATTACAGAAGAGGAAGAATAGGTTTTATAACAAACAGATGACATTTATACACATGCACACTCACTCAGCAGAACACGCACTGTATCCCATACAGTGCAGGGCATTTCAATTACATCAGTTCGACACTGATGGAAGCTGACTCAGTTAATGGCTGTCACAGTGCATGAAGAGGGGGTGTGAGACATGCAGTGCGAGTGGCGGGATGCATGGTGGAACATATGGTAATGGAGAGAGGTAGAACGCTTGTTTCATGGTAGGAAATGTAAATTCCTCGAGGGAATTCATATTTGTAATAACATGGAGTGCCTAATAGCTTTAACTTTCCCAGTGGAACATGGCTGTATAAATATGAGCATTTAACATTGCAGACTTTAATGACTCTGTGCGCACGGTGTTAAAAATGATACAGGAAGCCAGACCATTTTTTTAAAAACAATTTACGCTGCTCTTGTCAAAATCAGGTGAATGGTGATTTGGGTTTCAGTTGAATGCATGAACTCTGAAGCCGATCCCAGCTGTCACTGGGTGAGAAGCGGGGTACACCCTGGACTGTTCACCAGTCAATCACAGGCCTGACATATGGAGGCAGATCCATCAGCCACACTCGCATTCACACCAACGGGCAATTTAGAGACACCACTTGACCTAACAAGCGAGTCCATGGACTGTGGGAGAGAGCTGGCGTACCCAGAGGGAACCCGCCAATGCATGCGTGGGGGAGAACATGTGAACTCCATACAGAGAGGCTCCTGTCAGACCGGGATTCTGAACCAGGAACCTCCTCTCTGTGAGGCAACCGCGCTAACCACTACACCGCCGTGCAGCCAATCTTGAACTTAATGCAGGTTTTTAAATGTTTTTCCACCTCTGTGCTTTACGTTTGTTAAGCAGAGACATTTTCATTGCCGCCAATTTGAAAAGAGCAGCCGGGTTACCTGATAGAAACCTCCATCTGAACCCTTGAGATATTTCTCAGTCATTACTCAGAGGGTAACAGTGTTAGGGACACAGGGAGGCAAACCTGATGGTGAGCGGAGGGTTCCCGTACACTCTTAAAGTCATATCATGCTCAGTGAAACCTTCTGCAGTAGCTCTGCACGAGTTACAAATTCAGAAAAGTGTCTTGTTGATCTCGCCCTGTTGTCTGTGAAAAGCCTCAGTTCAGCATCTGTCCCGTGCAGGTGATTTCGCTAACTGTGTCTTTACGTCCCTGCAAGCCCACTCTCTTGCGATTCGCAACCTATGCAGAAACTTGGGAATGTGCGACGTCCTTGTTCTGCTGTGCCTCGCATATGACCGTGTGAAGAGTTCGGTGACATTGCGATGTCACAGAGTGTCCAGAAACCCGGTGAATAGAGTAGAGCTCTGTGGACTGAGGGATTACTCCAACATACTTTAACCTTCTGGTTGAAATCTTTTACCACTATGAGTATGACTATCCAACACTGCAACAATATATCTACATGACAGTATAATACCCTGCCATCAAGTTGAAAGGTGAGCGGGGTCAGTTTTTCAAAACGGGCTATTAAATCAGAAATGGAAGCAGAAGAGTTCTGTACATGGAATTAGTGACCCACTTAGGTCCACAGGATCATAAAGCCCACATCTGTCCCACATCATCGGGGCTTTATAACCTCTGCACAGTTACACCACCCCCCCACTGACCCATGGGTTTCTGTTGTCTCCTATAGGCGACTCCAACGAAAACAAGCCAGTGGTTGGAGCAGAGGAGGAAGAGGTGGCCAAGATGGGCTGTCCCAGTCTGGGCGAACACACACAAGTAGAGGTGGTCATAGAAGAGTCCTATGAGTTTAAGGTAAGTGTGTGTCTGCTTGTGCTGACGCCACAAGTACATTTCTTTTAACAGCAGTGTGTGTGCAAGCATTCTCTTCATGTGTGCACGACGGAAGCTCTGCAGTCTGAACCATCAGCTAATCACTTTCATGTTGAAGTCTTGGGATAACCATCAGTTTGGCTGCAGGGAGAGAAAAAAAAAAAAAAAACTCCAGAAAACTGACCTCAAATGCAAATTGGATCTAAAAATTATTTAATGTGAGTGCCTGCTGCTCCGGTTCAGAGGATGAATAATTCATTTTGTTAGCATGTAATGGATTCTCTAATGAGAAGCTTGTCATTTGGGTGGCAGAGTTGCAAAAGAAAACAAATAAGCTACTCCAGCTGTCATCTTGTTTCAGAAGGGGAAAAAAAAAGCCGGCCTCAGAAGAAGGAAGGTTTCTGCATGGTAGATCGCTCATCCAGCAAACAAGACATAAGACACTGTAACCATGTTTCTTATGTATAGCAAAAGAAAAACAAGTTTCAAACTAGAGTTGTTTGTCTCACATTCAGCTCGCATTACTCTGCTTGCATCAGTTTATGTTTATTCTGCTTCTTTTCACGTCATTTTGCCTCCAACTTGTGTTAACCAATCATACTTAGAATTCATTTTTGTGTCTCACATTTCATTTGCTCATCTGTCTGTTTGTGTCATTTTGTCATTATGTGTTTGTGTGTGTGTTTGTGTGTGTGTGTGTGCAGAGAGCAGTAAATGAGCTTCTTTGGCGTTCTGACAAGGTTATACATCATTCACACTCTGTACTTTTTTCTGTGCATGCAATCTTCTATCTATTACTCCAGCTCTGAGATGTTGTAATGGGCTTTCTATATAGAGTGTCACGTCTTATAACCCCCCGCCGGAATCTATTTAACCTCTCTCATTTTGACTGATAATGTACAGGACATTTTATGTTTTATTTTCGCATTGTCTTTAAGGTGTTAGAAAGTCAATCACGCAGGGTTTGCTCCTATCAGTGGTGCTCTGATAGCTGCAGCGAGCTTTTTCTCACCAACCTCTGCCCCGCTGCTTTAAGCAGAAATCCCAACACGTCTGCCTGCAGGTTCCTAGATTTCACAGGAAGCATCACACTCAATTACCCAGCATCGTATTCATTAGCACATCTCATACCTCAAACAGTCAGTGTTACAAAACACAGATTTTTTTTAAGTGTGTCTTTCAGAGTGGGGAGCTAATTGATTAGTGGAAAAGAGCGTTTTCACCTTTCTGTGTCTGTGTGTGGATTAACATCTTGAGGGTTTTTATCTTTCCTGTTCTGCCTGGTTCTTATGCTCTTGCACGTTTGCCTTTGTGTGCTCGTGTTCTGTGTGTGTGTGTGTGTGTTTGTGTATTTGTTTGTTTCTGCGCGTAGAGTACGGTGGATAAGTTGATCAAGAAGACGAACCTGGCCTTGGTGGTTGGAAGCAGCAGCTGGAGAGAACAATTCGTCAATGCTGTTACTGTCAGTGCAGGTAATACACACACACACACACACACACACACACACACACACAGAACATAAGTCATCATTTTGATTAATGAAAAGTGGTTTTGTTTGACATCTGTCTTGACTGAATGTTGAAACAGTGATGGATGATGGAAAGAACGCTGCCTCATGATGTGTTTTCACTATAATTTGAGTCCCTTGTTGTTCGGGTTTCAGAGTTGTTACAGCGCCTTAGTACCCCGTATGTGGACTCTCTTTCTCTGTTAACACTAGTCTCAGACCTGCTTTAAGGAAACACAGGGGGATGGTAAATGTGCAAAGCCCCGTCCTTGCCAAGAGTACCAATACCATTTCCCCTTCTGTATTCTTACTGTTACAGCCAACAGCTACTAAAGCGTAGCTTAGCATAATGACTGGCGAGAGGGGAGCTGTTGGCAGGTAGACCTGTTTGCTTTTGGACAGAGCCAGGGTAGCTGTCCAGCTCGGGTCCTCATACTAATCTGAGATTATCAGCACCTGGCTCAGTATAAAAGTGTTAGAGTACCTATCATCCGATGGAGCTGAAACCTTTGTGTTATGACTTTATAGTTTTTTTTATTAAAGTTTTGGAAAATGAAGAAATGGTCGGGCACATTTCCCGTTTATTCAGGTTTTAAACGAGGGCTGTTGTTGTGACGCTTTTCAACCATCATGTAAGATGTTCTGGAGAAGAAAATAACATGAGTACGTGTATCACCCAAAAAAGTTGAATTCTAGCTTTTTGAGTACTAGTTTTGTTTTTTCCCTTTGGGTAAGTTTGTTTTTGTTCAATGACATTTTGTAATGTTGCTGCTGTTCTGTCGACCTCTGACACTGCAGAGTCCCTGTCTTCATCCTTTCTCCTTGATTCATTGCTTTATTTTTTCGTCCTCTGTATCCTTCTCTTTCTTCAACTCTCCAACCGCCTCTGATGCGCCCTGAAGGAGACGACGATGAGGAGGAGAGCGGCGAGGAGAGGCTGCCGTCCTGCTTCGACTACATTATGCACTTCCTCACCGTGTTCTGGAAGGTTCTGTTCGCCTTCGTCCCGCCCACGGAGTACTGGAACGGCTGGGCCTGCTTCATCGTCTCCATATCGCTCATCGGAGTCCTCACGGCCGTCACCGGAGATCTGGCCTCACACTTCGGCTGCACGATAGGACTGAAGGACTCGGTGACAGCTGTGGTGTTTGTCGCCCTGGGGACTTCAGTGCCAGGTGAGATAGAGCGGCTGGATGTGTGTGTGGAGACATTTCTGTCATAAAACATACTTCTGTCTCACTTTTTTAAAATGAACGTTGCTTAAAATCACACCAAATCACCAAATCACTCCTTGGGCAAGACACTAAACCTCAAGTTGCTCCCTCTGCTGAATGTGTATGACGGGGTGAGCTACTTCTGATGGTTACTTTACACAGCAGCCTCTACCATGTGTAGGTGTGACCGGCGGCGTAAAAAGCACTTTGAGTATTCAGAAGACTAGAAAAAGACCCAGCCCTCTCCCCAAAAAAGAAAGAAAGAAACAGTCCCCCAAATTGACAGACCAAAAAAGAGGCTGATCCCTTCTCCTCTATCTGATTTCAATAACAGCCGCTCCTCGGTAAAGCCTGGCCGGAAATCAAAATTGAATTGTGAAACGGTGGCTCCTCCACAGCCCATCCAGCCCGGCGGGCCTGTCTCCGCCTGAAGGGGACGTGTTTGTCCCGGGGGCTTTAATTCAATTCCCTCCCTCATCCTCTCGTCAGAGCCGCTTTATTGTTGGCCCTCCGTGTGATTTATAGAAACGGCTCCTCTGCTCCCCTTCCCGGCGCTAACTTTGATGGCTCGCAGCGAAGGGGTGTCGGGGAAAGTGGAAACTGAATCAATTTTTTTTCGTCAGCGGCCGTATTATATTGCGCATGCATTTGGAGGAATAAAGGCGGATTTGATTTGGGTTAACTGCGTGTTTTTCTGTCGCGAAACAGGTCGGCGCTCTTTGCTGCTTCTGTTCTATTCCTGCTATCATGCTCAGTATCACTCCTATTATCGTTTCTTTTCATTCGTTCTTCACCCTCCATCTTTTCTTTCCCCCTTCCTCCGTCTGTCTCTCCTCACACTCTCGCCCTCACTTATCTGCTACACTTGCTCTTGAGCCCTAGTCCGGTCAATTTATTATTCCGACTCGCTCCCTCTCTTCCCTCCCTCCCTCTCTTCCCTCCTCTTATTGGCTGTTATGTTTTCACTATGGTATCATCCATCATTCTGAAGCGTGTGTGCGCCGTGGTGCCGGGATGTGTCTATGTGGGAGAATAAAAACACATTTTCCGCCGATGAAGTGATGCAATGTTTGGATGCAGCAAGTCCTGCAGGTCATTATAACTTTCACTGGGAGTGTGAGCACCCTCGTGTGTGTGTGTGTGTGTGAGAGAGAATCTCATCGCCTCGTAGGCTTATTAGCAGCATTCACCTCCTCCCTTGTTTCCTACTTTTCTTCCTCGCAGCCTTTGCCTTTATAAAAGGGTTAGGGTTCTGTATTATTTCATTGGAGACTCACTCCAGGATTATCCAGCCACTTCCAGCAGATGTGCAGACTCAGGCGATTAGTGAGCCATTTGCATGAACCGAGAGAGTCTTGACTGTTGGTAAGGTTTTACGATAAAGACGCCTAAAAGACACGTGTGCTCCCCCAGTTCAGGGACAACATATGGACACATTTTCAAACCAGGAAATAGCCATGCACTATCTGTTCTAACAGCAAACTCATTTCAGTTCTGATTTCGGCATGTTTGGGGTTATTTTTGCACCAAACAGTTTTTAATGACATATCAATCATGCCAAAGCAATTTTCAGGCTACTGGAAGCTGAAGCGGTGCAGTAATAACTCGCAGTAATGCTCATTTAAATTGCCATTTCTGGGCTTGGCTTACAGAAACAGTCCGTGTGCTCAGTGATAGACTGCTGTGGAGTGTAAGCCTGTGCAGAGGGGGCTGGAAGTGTGAGGAAGGGTTTCACTCATGTCAAATAGAAAGGGTGAATCCATGGTCCTGTTAACGCAACGTGCCTGTAGCTGCAAATATAGACGACCTCTCCAGATGTGTTTGCAGCAAAAGATGAGATACAGGCAATATTACGAGGTCAACAAAAAGAGGCATCATACTGTTTCTATCACTTTAAGAAAAAACAGTACACATGTTGTGTAGTTTGGGTCTCTAAGGAGGTCACTATAATCAGGAATACAAATTAAGTAAAGGTAGTGTGTGGCACTGAGTCTCATTATGTAAGTCTGATCTAATGTGTTGGCAGCATGAAATGTGCAGTTCCATCTCATCCGCTCTGTGTGTGTACAAGCACTAACTTTTCATTTCTTTTTGTGTGGTCTGTAACAAACAGGATTACAACTTACCCCCCCCACCAAGAAAGTTTGGAGGCTTTTTTTTTTTTTTTTTTTTTGCATGTTGGGATATGAATTTTCCACAAATCTGGCTGACGCTCAAATGAGAATTGAGGCTCATCTCACCAGCATGTCTAAAAATAGAAATAAGCCAAGACAGGCGTGCAGAAACTGGCAGCCCCGGTGTTTCATGGCAGCCCAGTTGTCGAGTCTGCACATGTTACACCGTTCCCTCCAAATGTTAAGCATCTAAGGCTCCACTCACGCACACATACAGCATTTTGCAGCATCGACTAACATCTGTTCTGTTCAGTAAGAAAACCAATTTACAACTGTGGATTACAGAAAATGTTCTTAAAAATAAGACTATGTTGTATTTAAGTCTTTAGATGAAAAGATGTAACTGACACCTGAGATTTAGTGAACGCAAAACAACGAAGGCTTCATATTAGTAAAGCGTCCAAGCGGTTACAGTGCAAGTTGATTTAAATAATCTAAAATGCATTCGCCTTCGGTAAAATGAAAGTAAGCACAAGGATTTTTGCTGGAGGAACAGGACGCTATCTGAGGTGATCAGCTGGCTTGTTAGCTCGCCTCTAGCTACCATAGGCTTACAACAAATCTGATCGTTTAATGTGTAACATAAGAACTGCCAAAAGGAGTGTATTGCTGCAGCCACAGGAGCTTATCATTATTCTGAGCTCGTTTTTCAAAGCTTAGCAGGTTCTGCTTTTAAGCTTCTTCACCATTTTTTGTGTTTCCCTTCGTCTCAACAAACGGAGATACTGACCCATTGTCGGACAGATTAAGGGTTAAGATTAAGAAGATGTATGTATTTAATGTTGGCACATGATCCATATATTTTCCATCTCTCATCCAGACACATTCGCCAGCAAGGTTGCTGCTATCCAGGACCAATACGCCGACGCCTCCATCGGAAACGTGACCGGCTCCAACGCCGTGAACGTGTTCCTCGGCATCGGGGTGGCCTGGACCATCGCTGCTGTCGTCTGGCGCTCCAAGGGCATGCCGTTCAAGGTGGACCCGGGTAATCTGGCCTTCTCCGTCACCCTCTTCACCATCCTGGCCGTCGTGTGCGTGCTCACGCTGCTGTATCGGCGGCGGGCGACGGTGGCCGGCGGCGAGCTCGGCGGGCCGCGGACTTGCAAGATGATCACGTCGATGATGTTCATCTCCCTGTGGCTGCTTTACATCCTGCTGGCTTCGCTGGAGGCCTACTGCCACCTGCCAGTGTTTTAAAAGGAAAGAGGAGCGGGGAGGGGCGAGAGACACTGCCAACAGGAAGAAAAAGAGAGAGAGGGATGGAGTGTTCAAAGACGAGAGGAGGAAACACAGAAGTGCAAAGTGGAGGGAAATGGGCAGATTCTTATATTTAAACAGAGTCTGCATATCTTTCATTTCCTTCTTGTAACAAATGTCTCAGACGAGCATTTATTTATTTTTTCTGAAACAGAGCCTTTACCATATGAAAATCTATCAATCTCTAACTATATGTAAAGTTAACTTTATCCAGTGATGAGGAAGAAGAAAAAGAGAGTCTACATGAAGAATTCATGAACATAAAGCTGGGAAGATAAAATTGCAAAGCAGGTTTTTTTTTTTAAGAGTGCTTTTATGTAGTTCCAGTTTACTGCCAAACATCTAGGATAGGAGACAGCAAGGAGAGCTGTTAGCCAATCAGCAGACCTCTGAACGTGTGAACAAAGGGAAAAGGGGGTTAAAGGTTAAAAAGTTGAAAAGTTGAGAGAGGAAGTTGGAGGCAACAAACTTTGAGAAAGTCTGCATACAGTAAAGTCATCGAGTAAAAGAAGAGGAATATATGGGCACCTCCTCACTCACTCACTCTCCCTCTCTCTCTCTCTCTCTCTCACTCTCTCTCTCTGTCTTCACGGAGCGAGGACATTGGTTTCTCCTATTCTACCAACTGAACTCTGTATCATAACATCAAAAGACTTTTAACTCATTTCCCCCAATTGTACTCACATAAACGCACACTTTGGGGCCCTCAGGTGAATCTGCGGAGGACGAACACTCACTAACTTGTGATCGTGCAGGCGAGATAAAAACGGACAACCTCTTCGTCTCGATCTTTTTTTTCTTTCTTCTTCTTCTCTTCTTGAATACACTGTGCAAAAATCATCCTTTCATCCTACGAGAAGCCGCAAAAACACACACATCCACCGTCCACTACCTTTCCTCCAAACACTCCACAGACTGTACACACTCCCCCCTCCTCCCCCTCCCCCCCCCTTTGCCTTACTGTAACCCACCTGTAGGAAACTGTCTGAAAGTTGTGATAATTGCAGTAGTCACCACGACCCTCTCTCAATCGAGCCAATCCCAAAGCCCGCCCCCTTTGTTTCTTTATTTTGCCAATGAACAGCCTCGTGGAGGACAAACACCCTCTCCTCTTTTTTTTTTTTTTCTAAACTTTTCAATGGCGTCACGTGTTGATGTTGTTACCGTGCAATTGTAAAAAAAAAAAAAAAAAAGGAAAAAAGACATATATGTATATATATATATATATATATATATATAAATAAATAGTGTAAAGAGATGGAGATGGATGTGATATCAAGATGTTGGATTGGCAGCTGCTGTGAGAAACTTGGATGGAGAAATGGAAAAGATGTTGAATAAGCGGTGCCAACAAGCACTGCGCATTGCGAGGTACACTGTTTACACTCGAAAAAAGGCGCGTTCAAACGCTGGGAGAGAAACACATGAGCGAGCGGAGAAGAGGATGCAACGCCAAGAAGAATAAACTAACAGGACAATAAAAGGACCAGTCAGAATGAAGGATCGGACCTGTCAGTGTTTTGACAAATCAAAACGATGAACATATCCAGTGTTTCTAATTGTACATTATAATATAAACAAACTTTGATGATGTGTGTGAGAAAACTCTGATATATAGCTTAAGTGAAGTCCCCCTCTTTGTAAGGAGAAAACCCCTGGAGGAGGAAAGAGCTTGGAAGCATGGAGGCTTCGTGTGCCCATTTTCTCTGAAACACAGTTCAAGAAAACCTTTTAAAGAAATCCATCACAAGGGTGGGGGGGACGGCTGATGACGACCACAAAAAGCGGTCATGACTCACAGACGGGGGAGAATAAGTCGGATGCTCTGAGGGGAAAATGTACGGCAGCTCTGAAATATCACATAACCGGTTCAGCAGAAGTTGTAATGTTTGCGATGTTTCTTTGAAGTCGTAACGAGAAAAAAAAAAAAAAATCACAAGTCTCTGTTATCCAAAGATTTCATAGAAGAACACTGTCACGGATTACAGTCCATTTGAAGTGTGCAGTTTTAACTCGTGCAAGTCCCGTGAGCTGCCAGTTTTAGTTTGAAAAAAAAAACACAAAACCTGCAAAATGAAATTCTTTAATGTGTACACACACTACAGAAAAATGTGAGTAACCATTGGTATTATTTATGGGACTGAGCCTGTATCAAAAGCTGTGCTATATTTTTGTTTTTCTGTGAAGTCTGCTGATGGCATGAGTGAAACTGAAAGTAAGATTTATGAAACGTTTAAGAAGAGACTGTTTTGCCACATCTGAAATCGACCTTTTTTTTTTCTCATGTGTGTGTTGTTGACGTGTGGCATCCAGGTTTACATTATGTCCGTGTTAACACCCCTGCTGTGCCCTGTGGCTGCTTTGAAGCTTGACAGAAGGACTGGCTTGTCAGTGCAAATAATTGTTAAATGCATTCCTCTTGTTAACAACAGCACAGAAAGAAAAACTCTCCCCCTCCGCTAACTGCCCAAAAGGCTTTTTTTTTTGTGATCTTCAAAGAAAGTCTCCAGAGAAAACAATAATTAAACTCTGTGTTTTTACCTCCGTTCACTGAGAGGAGGGAAAAAAGGGACTGGAAACAACAATTTACCTGCCCACCGTCCGCTTTGTTAAATATGGACAAATTACCCACTGCTCTCATCCCTTTGGAAACACACAGCCAGCTCAGACGTTACCGGGCTAAACAAAAGCAATCCCTTCCAAAGGTGAATGCTTGTACAAATGGGAGATAAGTGGTTATTTGGAGCTGAGTAAAATGCCAATATCCCCCCCACCCTTCTTTCAAATGTGACTCTTGAAATGCCAAACAAATACCTTACAGCTGTAAAGGAAAAGATAAGTGTTATATTATAAACTGTGACGGTAGAAAGTCAGTGAAACAACACTGAAAGCTTCACTGATTTCTGCAACAACTGGTGTTCACCTGAGAATCCCCGGTTTTAGACGTCTTAGAATATTTCTTGGCTGCAAATATTTTTACATTTGTGTTAAGAGGTATGTTCCACCTCGCACAGGAGCCGCCCTGAAGAGAGATTTAGTGACCAGCTCAGAGACATTTCTGCACGTAATGCCGTAATGTGCTTGCAGTGCCGTAACCAGGATTTTAAAAGTGCAGAGATCATTTACCCCCCCCTTACCCCCCTTGTGTTTTTTTTTATATTATATTTTGGCCACCTATGTCGACTTTGCCATGCTATCTAGCATTGTCACAGCAGGTATAGCAGTGACAATGTTAAGACTTCTGCCTCTGCTTTAGTTAAGCTAACATTTGTTAATGGGCTCCAAACCACTAGCACTAAAGCACTCACCACGAAAAGTACGGTGGAGACGATCCAGAATGTCATTCGTTATTTCGTCAGTAACAAGAGTGCTTATAAATTTAAATTTCTCTTCTATATGAAAAGTGAAGAAATTAGCTGAACGATTGGAATTTGTTATAAAGATAACATGAATGCACTACATTTCAGGGCAAGACATTCAATATTTAGTTTTACTCCAAACCGTTAAGTTTACATAGGGAATAATCAGGCAGTCACTGGGGTCATCGTCTTGGTAACAGGAATGTTTGTACAGAATTTCATGTCTAGGATCAAACAAGTTTGGGGTCTTTTGAAACTTACAAAAAAATATAAAATACAATGTCCAAGAGCTAATCGTGGCTAAAATGACTGGAAACTTAAAGGTTTCATACTAATCATGAAAAGATCTCTTAAGCGACAGGAGTTCACCCGACATAAAAAGGTCGTCAGCCACTTGCCAGTATTGACTTAACTGGAGTGCTTTTGAACGGTTCCTGGCCTGCTGTGACACCAGGATGCATGTCGGGTCAAACAGTTTTTTTATCAATGAGCTCTGTAACAGTTGGCAGTTTAAGAATGAGTGGGCAGGATAATAGTGCTGCTGACGCCACAGGAACACAAGAATACAGGGACCGATTTAGAAATGTAGGCTTTAAAAGGGTTGATAAGCCTTGCTGGAGGACGGGTGTGTGCGTGTGTGTGCGTGTGCGTGTGTGTGTGTGTGTGTGTATGTGTGTGTGTGCATGCTTTCTATAAGTGAGTGAAGAAATGCAGCCATATTTTTAGTCTTTTGCCTGTTGCTTAGCGACCATCGCTCTGTAAGCAGTTGTCTTCTTGACTGTTGCCGTTGTGTGTGACATTGTGTGCGTGTCACTCTTTTGATGCTTCTCATTTTGTCTGCTGGTCCTTCTTCTAGTCAACATGACAATATGGATTTTACTTTTTCCCCTCTCTGCGGGTGAACTTCAACACATATCGCTGACCTCCTGTTACTTTTTTTTTTTTTTTTCCTTAATGTTCCTTGTGCCTCCCCTCGTTTGCATGTGTTTCCATTGTGTGTAGATCTGCATGCCTGTTTGTGCCTTTGTGTGAGTGTGCTTGTGTGTGTGTGTCGGTTGGTGTTGTAATCTCCTTATAAGGGCTCGCCCTGTGTGTCCCCGGCCGAGTCTCGTAGATTAATGAATAAGAATGCCAACCTGACCCACTGTAAAAAACAGTTCTGAGAAGAAGACTAAAACGTAATTATTTCCTTTGTTTCAGATCATGGGTTGCTTGTTTGACTTGTTGTACGCGTGCATGAGTGTGTGCAAGGAGTGTATACAGGCAAAGTTATGTTCTCTCCTGAGTTTGACATGAATAAATTATTTGTTAAATTATTTCTGTTGGGTTGAACTTGGAGGCTGGCTGTAACGGTAATGCTATTTCTATTTAAATAATATTTCTAATGACATTGATATCTCTAACTTTGTGTCCTCTAGTTTTAAATCTTAACAGCTGTAGTGTTAGATTTCAGACCCTTGTACAAATATCAGGGGCGTGTCCAGACTTTTTTTGGACTGGGTGGCCCAACTGTGACCCTGACTTATCCAGGGGTGGCCTGAAGTGTGATACGTGCACAAACTCACACACATAAATATATAATTAGTTACCCTTTCCAACTTCACCGATCACATCTTGTTATGTAAAACGAGATAAAGGCAACATTAGCGAAACTTTTTTAATGACGCTGAAATTATTGTATCTTCAATTTCACAATTTAAAGTGCTTAAAAGGTGCATGTAAACTCCAGCCCACTAACTTGCCATGTTTTTGTCACGACAGATAATTAACAAGATAATTTGCAATTTAGGAATTTTGGGGTGGCTAATCATATTTCTAAGGGGGGCCTTGACACCCCTGGCCACAGCTCTGGTCACGCCCCTGATAAATATGGATTTATTTTTTTTATTTTTTTTTAAAGGTTGTGAGTTGAAGTCCCTCAAAAGTATTCCCCTATCTCTTTTTAATGATGTTGTTAAATTATCTACCTATTGCCTTTAAAAGGTTATGCTCCTCAGCTCCATACTTCACAGTAAAAAGCAAAACTGTTCATTGATGATGGCTGCTTCGGTTAACGTTCAGACACATTTAAAGGTTTTGTTCTTTGAACACAACAGTCATACTACAAATAAATAATCAGTATTTCCATACAACTCAGTGTTCGTACTTTTGTCACATTTGCAGATTTGGATTTGCAGCCCAGATTTGTGTCTGTGTTTGAGAGAGAAAAAGTGAATCTGACACCGTGAGACTTCTGTTTATTAGCCACTATATTCAGCTGTGTTTCTTTTCTTTCCTTGTCTCACTCTGCTATTGGCCACTACCACATAGATATTTATATATTTAATCCATTTCTATTCTTCATTTTGTTAATATATCATATAGCCCTATTTATGATGTCACAAAGTGCTTTTGATATAAATATCTGGTGTGTTTTTTTTTCATTCATTTTATGATCATTATGATTATATTGTATATTTTTGTTGCATTTGTTTCCATTGTTTTGTGTTGTTATGGTGATTTGTTTTCTATAAAAAAAAGTCCTCAGAAACAAGAACGAATTAGCATAGTAAACATTTTCAGTGTGCTCTT